TAACCACATTTTAGTTTACAGTCTGCCTTCTACTTCAGAGTAGACCAAACCATGTTTCAATCCAGTGGAAGGTCCTGATCAACAAAAATGACCCCATCAACAGACACATAATATTGATAACCTAGTCTTGAGCCATCTGGGTTTGGTCTTGACTCAAATCTGAACATGCTCAGTTTTGGATTTGTCTTGAGTGACTTTAACTTCAGCGTTGTAGGAGAGGGTAATGTAACACTGTCCTCTTTTCTGTCTCTGTTTCCTTTTCCATCCTGTTCTCCAGAAACAAATGATGATCTTCTGCTGCTGTGTGATTTTGGCCTTGATACTCGGTTCCTTTGTCTACAGCTTCTTCAAATAGAAAGCCTGAACGAGGCCCCCCACCAGCTGAGTCCACAGCGCCGGATGAGGCAGAGCAGAGCTGCTCTCAGATGGTCACAAATAGAGCCTGGGCTCAGTTTACTGTCATTTAAACCAATTCAAAACAGAAATAGAGGCTAAAAAACATTTTAATTTGTTCTCAGTTATTTCTGAATGTGGTATGACAACTTTCTTAATCTTCTCAGGGTGTCCCATATTTAAATTCACTTTCACTGCAGTGTCTAGATAATCAAAGTCATGTCCAAATGGAGCTCAGGTGTGTGAGGGGAACTTAATATGACTCTAAGGCGTTTGGACTGAGTGTAGCTGCTTCATAGAGATTTAGATCAGAATTCATGAACTGCAGAATTCAGTGAGAGTCACATGATCATAGGTTTAAACAAAGTATCACTAAATCAAAATACAGGGTTCCCATGCTTATGACATTTCTGGAAAAATTATTAAATCAGAAAAACTGTTTTCCAGGCCTGGAAGTGGTCTGGAATTAACAGAATATTTTGACATACCGTATTTTGGCTAATGTTTAAAATATGTTCATGTAAATGCCAAAGCACGTCTAATGACAAGCAAATTATGTTCCCTGTATACTAACGTAAAATCTAGTGCTGTGCTGCGTGACCATCAGAACGTCACTACTATCATGTGATACACATAGACCAGACCAGCATTGCATCATTGCCTATGCCAGAGATCTGAACAGATTCGTTCATTTATCAGTTCAGTTGAGCTCAGCAGCGAGCATGCAGGCTAGGAGTGGAACTGCAGATTCGGTCCGTGCGAATGATGAGTCACTCGCGAGTCGTGAGGCAGCCAGGGTGCAGGGAGGGACTGCCTACCACGTAATGAATCACTCGGTGAATGAATCCCTCAATGAACGACGTAAACCCGATCGATTCAAATCATTTCTTCTCAGCGATACAATTTCATAGGGACCATTTTCTCCAAGCTAACGGCTAATGTAGCCAGGAGTCAAGCCATATGAACACAGTCACACACCTCCCCATTGTTTTAACAGACTTAGTTTCCAGATATACAAACTTAAAACGTTAGGCTGGCCAGTAATGAGACTCACCAGTGCAGGACAAACGCAGCAGCAGCTCAGCCGTGTGTCAGTTCAGTCAGACTACGCAGTACACAGTCAGGGCTCCTCCTGCCAAGCACTGAACGATTCAGTGAACGAATCTTTTGAACGCATCTTTTTAATGAACTGATTCTAGTCATCTAAAGAACTGCTTTGCCCATCACTAACTGTCACTTTGGTAAATCTATTAATGATCTCAATAAAATATAAGGTGTATTGAAGAGCTGCACTTAAAGCAGAATGGATACTATCTCAGATGATTCAAATACCTAAAAGACACTGAATATCAAAACAGTGAAAACTAATGAGATAAGAATGTGGTCATATCTAAGAAACAACTGAGAATAATTTATTAATGAGTAAGAAAGGAAGAGCAGTGGCTGTTAACATTTGAATGAAGTGTAGCGTGACTGAATGAACACCACACTGCCCATCATCATGGTGCAGATCGATGCAGTCGGTATCTGAAGTATTGAGACAGCTGTTGTTATTCTTTTGTACATTTCTCAGTTATTTGTATTTTGATGATGAATACTTACGATGTTGGCTGCATCTAATGATACATGCGCCTGTTGTGACTCCATGTTGGGCCTTTATTTACATCATATTTAATGAGGGAAGAAAGTCACTTCACCCATTGGAGTTTTGACGCTGATTAAAACATGACTCATAGTAGATGCTGTATGATCTTAAAATAGAAGTAAGCTCTGAAGGTGTTAGATTAGAGATGGGAATAAACACAGCTCTGCTTTATTTGATTACACTGACACTGCCTTGGGGGTGTTTTACTGCTTCAGGTTTTTGTTGTTTGTGAGATTGCTTTAATTTTTAATATCTGTGTATGTGTGTTTTACCCCTTCTTCTTTTTTAATGACTGTATTTCCAAAGAGGCTGTTTTTGTTTCATGCCATGGTTTGACTCTAGTTGGTCTTTTCACATTTGCATCCTCCCTCTTTGCTCTCCACAAACGCAGTCGATTACACTGCAGGTGTGGGCTGACACTGACACTGCAGCACACTCTTGTGATGTCAGTCTACTTTTAAAAGCTCAGTAAGTATGTTCTATAAAAATATCTTTTTGTCATGTCACTATTTCCTGACAGTAGTACATGAGACAGATAATCTCCTCTGAATGCTCCTAATGGCATATGCAAGACCCCACCACACTTGAACAAAAACAACCAATCAGAGCCAAGAGATGTCGGTTTCCAGTAAAGCAGTGTTTACTCGTTTTATCTCAGGCTAGGTTTAACTCTTTCTTTTTAGCTTGCCTTTCATCATCGGTCTTCCTCTGTTTACTCAACACATTCTCACTCTAACTTCGTCACATGTCGACATTTGGTCATGGACCTTCCACGTCCAGATACAGTGTGAAAGGTACCCTGGGTGCTTTGGTTGATGACGTTCTGGGACACCATGTCAAGTTCTGCCTGGTACATGCATTGTCTTCATTCAAAATGCACTTCCGTTTTCACAGGAAATTTACAGTTTCTATAGTGTCTTTTTCAAAATAAAAGCACTAAGTCAGTGCAACAATGCAAATTGACGGGGGTTTTTTCTCCTCCAACAACAAATGCACGTTTAGTTTTAGGAAAAAAGAACAGGGTTTTACTTCATAAACTTACAGGATGCGAACACCACTCTCCCGGCTTAAAGTCCGTGTTTGTTTGACCCATCCATCCTACTCGGACTTTCACCGCTTTCACCTTCCCTCTGGTCCCGCTGCGTTTCTCCCTGACGCCGTTGAGCACTGTCAAAGTATAACAGTGACTGGCTGCGAATCATAAAGATGTTAAACTATGCCTTTTTTCATCAGTCTGACGCCTCAAGTCACTGCCCAAGCATCGGATTTCGCTGACTTTGAAGTGAGACCGGGTTGGTTTACATGTCTTTGCCACACTGTCTTCGGTAGTGCAGCATGTGCACAAGCAGTGATTAACACTCTGTTAGAGACTCCTCCTAAGCTCTGATTGGTTGTTTTCATTCAGGTAAGGTGGATTCTTGCAAATGCTAATAGGAGCTCTAGGATGAGGCAGAGGAACATGATTTTTTTATTTTACAGATTATCTGTGTCATGTACTACTCTCAGGATATAGTGACAGTTATTTATCATAAAAGTTACCTACTGTACCTTTAAACCAAATTTGGATTTTATCTTTTTTAATTTGAGACTAGATTTGATCATTGATTCATACATGGGTCCGCAAAAGACAGTGTCACATTTTAATGTTGGGTGCTGACATATTGTGTAGAATTATTTTTGGGAGCAATACGAGAAGTGTTTTTTCTTGTACCCATCTAATTTTCAAGCTGCAACTGGAGCACCTGATAAAACATCCCTGTGGATGTCATACTGTGTGTCTCCTGCTTTCTTCAGTGGCTCATGCTGCTATCAAGTGCACCTCAGAAGCTCCCACTAACATCTACGTTTGAAAAAACATGAAATAATAACAAAGTGATGCCACACTCTTTTTTCTTGAGGAATCAAGCGGCAAACTAGTAGTTTGTGCTCCCAAACTTAAATGGATAAAATATATGTCCCAACAACAAGACATCTGGGTCACCTAGGCTTTCCACTTGTCACCTGGGTTTTCCATTCTACCTGTGAATATGTTTCCTGACTCTAATGCAGGGTCAGCAGTTGTGGGTGTCCACATGACTGCAGGAGGACCTCACCTTCTTAACCATGTTTCCAGATGGCTAAATGTAAACCTTATAATAACTGTAATAACATTATATCTTAAAATAATAAAAGAATACTATTCCTAGGTGTCAAGTGTGGATTCAAGGGGGCAGGTTGGAAATTAGAAAAGACTAATAGTCAACAATGGTTCAGTCAGTACATCAGCCATTCTATTCACCTTTATGATTATTGCTAGGTTGTCTGACACTCTTGACAGTATGTAACGTAGTGTGATTTAATGTGTCCTCCTTTCCTGCTTACATTATTTACAGCCTGTCATTTTGTAGCTATTCATAATGAAAGTTATTCTATTGTTTTTCTTTTGTAGTTTGTCTACTTGTCGACAAAAATAAAATGAAACTGTTATTTATTTTTGCTTCTGAGTCATTATTTACCTTTTTCAGTACTGCACTGCGCATCACAGATTGGCGTGTTCCTCTCGCTCGCCGTATTCAAGCCGCACGTATTTGAGAGACAGGTCACCTCCGCCAATCACAAGAGCTCTGCAACATTTTCCAGCCAATCCACACAGATTCGTCTGAAGTACACTTCCATTTATGGACCTACGAGCACTTCCTCGTTGAGGTGAAGGCTACAAAACGTGTCCCTCCGATGCGAGCCTGTGGGAGTTAAAACACGGGACACAGAGGACGTCACATATCTCGGATTACTGAAGGCATTAGTACGCGGACGGACCTGTGTGAATATGGGGGTAAGTGTTGTAAAACGCGTTATTTTTTAAGTAATTCGTGTTATTTAGGAGTGATGACTAGTTATATTGGGTAATGAGGCGGTAGCCAGTGCGTTGTATCATCGTGTGATTGGCTCCTTCGCTTGACTGACCGTTTGTTTGCCCAGCAATAAACGTTATTGAGAGATATTAACCAATGGAGCGTAAGGTCGTTTTCAAATTGTGCTGTGATTGGTTACTTTCCAATTTCTTCATATGTCCATTGGTTGCGCTTGTCCAATCACAGGTCACAAATATTTCTTGTGATTGACACCGCTGTAGTCCAATGAACACCTCGCCGGCTTGTCTGTGATTGGTCCAATGTCTTGTTGTGGGCGGGTCATCGTGATGTTTTGTGATGGGATGGAAAATGGCGGCTGTTCGGAAACCGCATTAACTTTACCATACTAGTAACAAGAGCTGCAACAATTTACGCCCTTTTCGTGCATGAAAAATATCGGAATATTGCTATTTTACACGACTTCAGGTCATATTGAGTTTTTTAATCGATATAGACAGGACGACTCCCAAAACGCTGACATTTGCTGGACACGACTTAGTATCGTGAAGGCAAGGAACAAAGCTCGAGTATTTAGACAGTCTTAATTTTATGATAATGATATTTTTATGGAAATTTCCACTGCCGTTCAGTGTGTTACGTTAATGTAAGCTTCGCATATCCAGTCGACGTTGTTTCATCAAATGTGTTAGTGTAGAAAAACGTTAGTTTGAAAACGTTAACGTGATTTGAGTTTTAGAGCTCTACAAACACAGCAACGTATTGGTATCTCAGTTAGCTAGCGTTGGTCAGGAGTCTCTATTACTTTGTTTTTTTGTAACATAAGCTAAATTAACGCTCGCTGAGTAGTAAAGCTACCGAGCGTTGTGAACACACGCCTTCCAGCTGTTTGTTTACTATCCAGTGGAGCCAAGTGGCGCGGCGGTTCAGTTTAAGGTCGTTTTCTGATGGGTTCACGTTACCTTCGTACTCCGTTACCTTAGTTGAATACCGTTACCTGCATTTGGCTGGACAGAGCTCCAGGCATAATGGATGACTCCAAGCCAAGGTACAGCAAAAGGCTGGTAAGTTTAAAGGGAACCTGGCCACGTTGGTCCTCATTGTCTCTTGTAGCAACACTGCTTCCATTCACCAATCGAAGATGGTGATGCAAGAAATTGGTTGTGTTTATTTGCTTTGTTTGTTACCTATAGATCAGTTATTGGAGTTATTGCAAGGTATAGAAGCAATGACAAGGGCTGCTGTAAAAAAAAAAAAAAAAAAACATTTCTGAAAAAGTTCAGCTCCTTGCCAAATGTCTTTGGTTTTTAAAAACACAGTGCAGCTTAATTTTGAAGCTGCAATTTTATTTACATATCGAAGGACATACTGTAAAACGACTAATAGCCTGGGCTTTTATTAGCTTAAATCACTGCAATGGACAGGCCTACATTTGGGACAGGCATCTATATGGGAAAGGCCTTTATTCCTTTCACACAAAACTGTTGCCCATCACATATCAGGAAATACAACCAAATTGTTTATTTAAACCTGTATGAATATTACTTGTACTCAGAGAAAGAGAGTTACACACTCGAGGATTATGTCACCCAGCATACCAACACAACACCATTTTATCCTGTTAAAACAATACTCACAACTTGGATTCATTTTTATGAAAACCCTTTCAATTCTTTTGATCTGAGGACCCTCACAGACTAAAAGAATATTAGTAACCTACGGGGTAATTGAGGAATGGACACATAATTTGAGGTCGCCAACAACCTGCTTTTATACATCTAAATAACTTCTATTTAAAAAAAAAAAAGTGAACTGCTGTACAACCAGACCAGGCGTCTAATAATAGAGACAGGCTTATATTTGTCAAAATATCTAGCCACACCGGGCTAGTAAAAGGGACTGGGTGTTTAATTGAAGTTTTACAGTAGTTTAACAAATAGTATCATAATATCATGTTTGTATAAAAAAGAAAAAATAAGATAAGATTAGTATGATCAACCGTTACATGATTCACCTAGTAAAAAGGAAGGGAAGTGCAATGTGTTAATGATACATTTCCAGAGTCCAGCCCTGGCTGAAAATGGCTCTCTTCATATATATAATTATTAATGTATTTTTGGCCTATACATTTCAAGAAGTTTGAGCGCAGAAATGATAAACATATGTTTTGAGACATTGTCATCATTCTGTAGTTTGTCCACCAGAGATTAGAGAGAGTGTTGTTTCAACTGTAAAATGCCTTGCCTTGTGGCTACAAAACTGTTAACATACAGTACAGGCCAAAAGTTTGGACACACCTTCTCATTCAATGAGTTTTCTTTATTTTCATGACTATTTACATTGTAGATTCTCACTGAAGGCATCAAAACTATGAATGAACACATGTGGAGTTATGTACTTAACAAAAAAAGGTGAAATAACTGAAAACATGTTTTATATTCTAGTTTCTTCAAAATAGCCACCCTTTGCTCTGATTACTGCTTTGCACACTCTTGGCATTCTCTCCATGAGCTTCAAGAGGTAGTCACCTGAAATGATTTCCACTTCACAGGTGTGCCTTATCAGGGTTAATTAGTGGAATTTCTTGCTTTATCAATGGGGTTGGGACCATCAGTTGTGTTGTGCAGAAGTCAGGTTAATACACAGCCGACAGCCCTATTGGACAACTGTTAAAATTCATATTATGGCAAGAACCAATCAGCTAACTAAAGAAAAACGAGTGGCCATCATTACTTTAAGAAATGAAGGTCAGTCAGTCCGGAAAATTGCAAAAACTTTAAATGTGTCCCCAAGTGGAGTCGCAAAAACCATCAAGCGCTACAACGAAACTGGCACACATGAGGACCGACCCAGGAAAGGAAGACCAAGAGTCACCTCTGCTTCTGAGGATAAGTTCATCCGAGTCACCAGCCTCAGAAATCGCAAGTTAACAGCAGCTCAGATCAGAGACCAGATGAATGCCACACAGAGTTCTAGCAGCAGACCCATCTCTAGAACAACTGTTAAGAGGAGACAGCGCGAATCAGGCCTTCATGGTCAAATAGCTGCTAGGAAACCACTGCTAAGGAGAGGCAACAAGCAGAAGAGATTTGTTTGGGCCAAGAAACACAAGGAATGGACATTAGACCAGTGGAAATCTGTGCTTTGGTCTGATGAGTCCAAATTTGAGATCTTTGGTTCCAACCGCCGTGTCTTTGTGAGACGCAGAAAAGGTGAACGGATGGATTCCACATGCCTGGTTCCCACTGTGAAGCATGGAGGAGGAGGTGTGATGGTGTGGGGGTGTTTTGCTGGTGACACTGTTGGGGATTTATTCAAAATTGAAGGCACACTGAACCAGCATGGCTACCACAGCATCCTGCAGCGACATGCCATCCCATCCGGTTTGCGTTTAGTTGGACGATCATTTATTTTTCAACAGGACAATGACCCCAAACACACCTCCAGGCTGTGTAAGGGCTATTTGACCATGAAGGAGAGTGATGGAGTGCTGCGGCAGATGACCTGGCCTCCACAGTCACCGGACCTGAACCCAGTTGAGATGGTTTGGGGTGAGCTGGACCGCAGAGTGAAGGCAAAGGGGCCAACAAGTGCTAAACAACTCTGGGAACTCCTTCAAGACTGTTGGAAAACCATTTCAGGTGACTACCTCTTGAAGCTCATGGAGAGAATGCCAAGAGTGTGCAAAGCAGTAATCAGAGCAAAGGGTGGCTATTTTGAAGAAACTAGAATATAAAACATGTTTTCAGTTATTTCACCTTTTTTTATTAAGTACATAACTCCACATGTGTTCATTCATAGTTTTGATGCCTTCAGTGAGAATCTACAATGTAAATAGTCATGAAAATAAAGAAAACGCATTGAATGAGAAGGTGTGTCCAAACTTTTGGCCTGTACTGTATATACAAAGGTCTGTTTTTTAAGCTCTTGCCAAACAAGTTTGCACAATGCTGCTTAAAGATTCAGTGTGTTTGATTTAGGAGCATCTATTGGCATAAATTGTATATGATTTTCATTTCTTTGTTGTCATAAGTCTATTAACACCTGAAAATTAGGATTAGAAAATAGAGATATCTTAGAAATAGCCAATACTATTTACATTCAGATTGGGTTCTCTTCCACAGAGTCCTCCATGTTATTCTACAGTAGCCCAAAACTGACAAATCTAACACTTCCTCTAGATAGGGCCGTTCATGTTTTCGCCTCGGCCACCGTAGTTCTCCTACTCGCTTGGCACACGGGAGAGATTTCAGTTCTTCAACCTCAATGCTAGATGCCACTAAATCTAAATCCTAATCCTAAAAGCATTTAGCTTCATGTAAAGCCTTAGATTAATTAATTAGTGTTACAATTAATTTACAAATTACTAAATGTTTTAGTCTGAAGTCTTGCCCCTTGGCTGCTCTAGAAAATGGATTGTAAAACATATTTATTCCCTAATACACTTTCATGTGTGGCATTATTTAATCTTGATAGTTTGAAATTTGTATGGGTGAGACCTCATCTCTTTATGGAGCATTGCAGTTGAAATAAATCCAAGCGGGCACTGAATTACATAAAGGCAAATATGAAACCACTGTATTAATACAACACTGTATATTAATCTATTGTGTGCATGAATGCAGACACCAGCGAAGAGGTGGGAGAGATTATGGAGCACAGGGGGGTTGGGGGCTCAGCCTGGGATTATCCCTGTGTCACCTGTCAGGACCTGGGTCCACCCTGGAGCAGTAGTCTCTCCATCAGTTGGAGCCAATGTTTGAAAGCAGTGTTAAGATATTTTGTCTGTTTGAAGGGAATCACATTTCATAATACAAAAGAAGTCACCACTTGTAGCTGATGTTGCTTTCCATCCAGCTTTGTGTCCAGGTTTTGTCTCCACTGAAGCTATTTTCAGATGTGGCTTTTCTCAGCTTTGTTATAGCTGAACACATGCTCTTCAGTTTTTAATGGGGTTTTCCCCTGATGTTGTTTATTATGACATGAATATTAAGAAATGAATGCTGTTTAAATGTTTTGAGGTTCTCTTGGTGAGGAAGAAAGCCCAGTTTTGTATAAAATCCACCTTTAATCTCTTCATAGTTTGTAGATATAATCTGATGGATTCGGTTCCGCTCCTGGTTTTGTCTTTCTTCCTTCCACCGTTTGTCCTTTCTCTGTGATCTATGCCTCTTGTTGTATTTTCACCTATCCACCCTTCCTTCCATGTCCTTAGCGGGCCGGGACCCGGCGACGTTACCATGACGATGGCATCTCAGATGAGGAGATTGATGGAAGGAGGATGTTTGACCTGGAGGAGAAAGTCCACAGTCAGAGGTTCAGCTCTGACCAGGTCCTGCGCATGGAGGGAAAAGGTAAGCAAGTGCAGTCAGTGAGGTTCACATGGTGTGTTTGTATGTGAAGCTGGTTCTCAGGGTGGACAAGCTCAGTGAAAAAGGCTCATTTTAACACCAGACAGGAGTTGTGACAGAGCTCAACACAAATAGCTGCCTTGCAATAGCAGACATTAAGACTGTTTGACAGCGCTGCTTCCTTCCTGTCAATGGCTGACACACAGATCACCATGAGAGAAGTTTTAAATATGCCACATGCCGTCATATATGATTGTCTGCAGTGACACTGTCTGTCGCAACCACCACTTTCAGCCAGGATTCAGGAATCTTGAAAAATAAAACAGCCAGCAGTGAATGATAGAAAAACAAAAATGAGTGGATGAAAAGAGTTTCTCAGTCACATTTTAATTGTTTGAGTTTTTGTATTTCTTAGACTTCACGTATGAGTTTGTCCAGAGAGGCGGCCTCAGAGACCCAATCGTCTTTGAGAAACCTGAAGGACTGGGAATCAAGTAAGCTTCCTCATAATTTTTGTCTGTCCTTTATTCTCCTCATTTACATCTACCTTACTACTTCTTTCTTTTTCATTTCGTCTTTAGTTAACTTGCTTATTTGCTATTTTCTACTGGGGAAAAAAAAAAAAAGAAAACACTGACATGAGTTACATCTTGTTCTGTAGGATGCCCGATCCTGACTTCAGTGTCAATGACGTCAAGATGTTTGTTGGTAAGACTTAAGAAATTAAGTTATCTTTCTTTAATGAATTAGTAGTGAGTTTAGTCTGGGCAGCAAAATGTCATTGAATAATACCAGCCTGCTGTGATTAACGTTTGCTAAATACCCCCCCCCCCCCCCCCCACAGGAAGCAGACGTATGATAGATGTGATGGATGTGAGCACTCAGAAGGGGACAGAGATGTCCATGGCCCAGTGGACACGTTACTATGAGACTCCTCCGTCTCAGAGAGAGAAGCTGTATAATGTCATCAGCCTGGAGTTCAGTCACACCAAGCTGGAGAACCTGGTCAAGAGACCTTCCACAGTACGTACACACACTCTACTAAAGGCTCATATGTGTGTGTGTTATGCAAACGGAAGTACTTAAGCAACTGCAGGGAATCTGTCTCTGTCTGTGTACTCTCAAAGTAGTAGTATGTTGTCTGTTACCTCAGAGAAACTGTAAAATTCAGCTCACGCCTGTCTCATTTGTTTTGTTTTGTTCTGTCCGTCTTGTGTTTGCGTGTGTAGGTAGATCTAATAGACTGGGTGGACAACATGTGGCCTCGTCACCTGAAAGAGAGACAGAGAGACTCAACCAACTCTATCAATGACATGCAGTACCCCAAAGTACAGAAGTAAGTTCCCCATGTTATCTTCTCTTAAGTCAAATCTTTAGAGGATGTGACTGGAAAAATTACTCGATACATTCACTACATGAATTTCTTCATTTTGAGATGATATAATGAATTGACCTTTATTGACCTGATGTTTGCGTGTCTCTGCAGATACTGTCTGATGAGCGTTGAGGGCTGCTACACAGACTTTCACATTGACTTTGGAGGCACCTCGGTGTGGTACCACATTCTCAGAGGGAGTAAGGTGAGGCCAGAGGCAGTTCAGTCTTCTGTTTTACAGCCTCTCAGTGTCAGGCTGTCATTTAACGGGTGGATTTGTAACCAAAAACATACATTCTGTTCTTTTATGCTGTCAGACAAATCATGTTGAATGATTTGAAGATGTCCAGATTAGAATGGGAGGGTGAGTCTTCAATGATTTCGGTGCAGGGTTCGGATTGTGGTTTGAGTTGCATTGTTGTGTGTTTTCAGGTGTTCTGGCTGATCCCTCCCACCCCTCAGAACCTGGAGCTGTATGAGAACTGGGTGTTGTCTGGGAAACAGGGAGACGTTTTCCTGGGAGACCGCGTGTCTGACTGCCAGAGGATTGAACTGAAGCAGGGCTGCACCTTCATCATACCCTCAGGTACTTTTAAACCTGGGTTAGGCAGAAATCCAGAAAAGGGGGAAAAAAAGGTTCGATCTAAAATACACCCTCCTCCTGCAGCTCTCCTCTCTGTCCTAAGCCCCTCCCACCAAACAGACAGACAGACAGACATAGAATACTAATGTGTATATCATCCTCAGGTTGGATCCATGCCGTCTACACCCCTGTGGACTCTATGGTGTTTGGAGGGAACTTCCTGCACAGCTTCAACATCCCTACACAACTTAACATCTGTAATATAGAAGACAGAACACGGGTAGGGGAAAACACTCTCTGCTAAAAGTTGTAAATGACAGGAAGTGATGGATTGTGTGAAGTTAAAGTGCATCTTTCACCTCCACTGCAGGTTCCACTGAAGTTTCGTTACCCCTTCTACTACGAGATGTGCTGGTATGTGTTGGAGCGCTACGTCTTCAGCATGACGAAGACCTCCTACCTCACACCAGAGTTTCAGAAACACACGCTGGGCATTGGTATGTAAACAGGCAAACGTGGGGTAGATGTATGATGTTATATATTTTTTGGTGTAGATATGCTGTAATTGGAACGTGTTCCTTCTGTCAGGTCTGAAGAAGCCATCCAACTCAGATCCAACCAGTGAGCAGGTGAAGGAGGAGGAAGAAGGTGGTGGCAGTGACGAAGAGGCTTCAGAGCAGCAGTCTGACAAGCCTGCAGTTAAAGTTCATTTGACTCCTCTCGAGCTGGAAGGAATATGGAACCTGCTGGGTAAACTGGAGGCTCTACCTTCCAACAAGAAGTGTGTCCCAGCAGGCATACACAATGCCCCGGCACTCATTACACACATCAAGGTATGACTAGTCTCCGTGTGTATGTTTTTGTGAGTTATTGTGTTTGTCTTGATGATGTTTAATGCTCTCCTGCTGACACCATTTGCCCTTACCCTCTGCTGTCCTGCAGGCTCTACTGAAGGAACATGCCAATGACAATCCCAAACTGTCCTACACAGGAAAGCCCATTGTCAAGTGGCCAAAGAGGGTAAGTTTTCACATTAGTAATAGTTGCAGTAGTGTATCTTGAAATGTAAAGTCACAGACAACTGGACTTGCCTTTTCTTTGTCTATTATAGACCAATTTTTGTCTTTTTCGGGGGGGGGGGGACAGGGCATCTTTAGTTGGAGATAGCAGGTCATTGGTATATGCCACATAGAAGTGGTTCACATCATCTGAAAGGAGTGAATCTGAAGATGAATTTGAGTTGCAGTTCAGCACTGTGTCAAGTTTTCCTGGTCACAAAACATCACAATCATTAAACACTGTGTTTTTGTTAGGTGCCTATTCAAACTTTGAAAGATTAGAGTACATAAGGGCTCACAACATTATGGTGGAAGTATGTGATGGCCATTCCCATGCTCAATTATGTCTCATAAGCTGTTTCAGCTATTTTTGGGTTGACACCATTTGTTACACAGATTTGGTGCTAAATCTAACCAGTTTTTACAGCTCAACAACAGAGAAAAATGGTTAAAAATCCCTCCAAAATACCACATTAAGACACCAAGACCTTGAGGAACATCGTAGAAAAAGCCATATCATGGTTTAGTGTCCAAAACTTGTGACATTCAGAGACTTCAGTAAGAATAGCATTTTTGGTGATTAGATGGCGAGCATTTCTGTTCTGTAAACTGCTCGGAAACCCCATTATTGTCAATATACCTATGAAAGCCATACATCTCCTCAGCGGCTGATGTCTTTAGTTTGTGGTTGCAAAGTTTCACGAGGCTGTGGTTATACTAGAGATCACAATAGGTCATTTTATACAGTGAGGTCAAGCTACAGTAAAATGGCTATTATGGGGACTAACATCATCACACATGAATACAGATGAGCTCATTGAATCCACAAGAGTCTCAGATATCCACTCATACCCACTTTATGCAATTCCAATACTTTTTTGGAACCCTAGTATGCAGAAATATTAAAAACAGTAGGTAAAAATAACATACTGTATGCAGAAAACTGCAGGCAACTATTTTAAAGTGGGCATGTGTGTAAAGGTGAGACTTGTGGGTACCAATAGAAACCATTTTTATCCAGATATCTAGATGAGATGTCAAGGGACCCCTGTGAAAATGGCTATACCAGTTTTTACCTCAACAAAATTTAGCCTAACTTTTGAACTTTATTTAACCCACTTGGTACCAGTTGAGTCATTGAGTCAAATATATTCTCCATATTTGGACCCAGTGTTCACAACAAATGCTGGCTGTTGTTCTTGTGTTTATTCTATTTTTCTCTCACCACCTCAGCCATTGATCCATCTTTACTTTTCTGCTCCTCTCCACCAGCCCTCGTGGTACCAGCCTCCTCCTCCTCCACCACCTCCTCCTCGCCCTAAATTGACCTCCACTCCCATCGTCCCACGACCACAGAAACCAGCCTCTTCCATGTCTGTCCTGAGACGGCGCAGGGTCAGGTAACAAAGCAGAGATTGGTGTGAATGTTGTTTTAGTCACACTAACTAGTTTTCTGTTGCTTACATGAGACCTCTCTTAGTTCAGCTCAGTAAATACCAGCTGTCTGAAGCAGACAACTTTGAACCATTTTACGCCTTCAGAGATCATCCATGTGCTTTTATGTTTTCTCCTTCTGCAGGTGTAAGCGCTGTGAAGCTTGCATGAGACCAGAGTGTGGAGACTGTAACTTCTGCAGAGACATGAAGAAGTTTGGCGGACCAGGGAAGCTCAAGCAGACGTGTGTGCTACGACAGTGTCTCTCTGTAAGAAACTGTTTTTTACTTATTTATTCATATATGCTGGAAATATCTCTTTTGTAACTTTCCCTCTGCCCCCTCCAGCCGGGCCTTCCTCTGTCTGCAGTATGTGAGATCTGCAAGGAGCCCAATCAGGAGGAAACTGGAGACCCCTCCCTCACTCTGATGGAGTGTTCCAACTGTGCGCAGATAGTCCATCCTGCCTGCCTCACGGTACAGTGCACACACACATACTTAGGCTCTGTCTGAAATTAGTCCCTATTCACTATACAAAATGCGGTATTTATTGGCTGCCATTTTATTTAAGTTTCTGAATTCTGAGTGTAACATTTATGCTCTACAAAGTTCCCTAAAACAAGTAAAATCCATGGGGTGTACATTTTTTTTATTACTGACATTCCCATACTTCTCTAGACACTTGACTGTCCCGCTGTTATTACAGATGTGAACTAACCGCATACACTTGACTGCCATGCTGTCATTACAGACGTGTGAACAAACCACAAAAACCTGCATCCCACTGTTATTACCGACATGTGAACTAACCTTAGATGCTCGCGTTCAGTTATTACCAGGCCCTGAGGGAGTGTACCGGGGTTTGAGGCCAATTTTCGTAGTGACCAAACAGTATAATTACATCGTCACGTGATGCCCTGTGGCCCAAAGGACTTGTTCCCATTGACTTGCAAGGGGAGAGAGACATCTGTAAACTCAAGGATTAACTCCTTTTGAACGTCACATCCCCCACAAAACGACTTATTTCATTATCACAATTTTATCAGTTTGGTCTGGTAACATTTACAGAGTCTAAAAGAGTTGATCATTTGGGTAATGTTATACATGGCAGCTAAATTTTTTTTGGGCTTCATGTAATAAACATGGCCTCGTCTCCAATGCTGTGTCCAGTTCTCTGTATACATCCATGGTTGATAGACATGTGAACTAACCACAGATGGGGTTGGGTACTGAACGCTGTACTTAAAAGAGTACTGACCGAATTATGTTGGTACTACCAAGTACTGATTCACGTTTAATCAATCTGTGCTAAATTTCAGTACCCAAGGGCATACCTGGGTGAGAAGGCTGTGTTCAAACAAGGGGCGAAACTATCGTTGCAGCGCCAACAGTGTCGTATTTTACTTTAGAAATAGCCTAGTATCACTGCTGTTTGTGACTGTGTTTTTTTTTAAATTACTGGTTAATCCACATATGTGTCAGTTGTACCTAAACAGAGCGCGAAAGAGACAAGCAGACACACATGCAAGCAAGCAGACAGATAGACGGAGCTTAGCTTTATGTGTGATTAGAAAAAAGAGCAGAGGAGCAGAGTCCTTACTGGTAGTGATTCAAACACCAACCCTAATAGACCCTAAAATGTCCCGCTATTGTTATGTGACTAAATCACAAACACTCCTCTGTCCCGCGGGTATTATTGGACGTGAACTAACTACAGACACTCGTCTATCCCGCGGTTATTTTAGACGTGAACTAACCACAGGTTTCATACGATGTACTTGAAGGTTGAATTTAGAAATGTAAGTACTGGAATACCTTGAAAATCAGACATTTTCCAGATTGGTCCATGAAAAATGGTATTTAAATTGAATTTAGAGGAGAACAGAATGCCAAATTATTTTACGAAACTTACTATAAAAACGTTTAATCTTCCAAAGCCGTCTGGGCGGTAACGTTATATGAGCTCCGAGCGCCAATCGGTCGGTAAACGCAAGTAAATAGTCGGTTCCAGGATGTTTCGCTAGTCTGCAAAACCGTTACACTGGAGCAGCGTCAGCCGTTACGGCGGGGTTTCTGCTGTAACTCCGCAGTAAAAATGTGGCCGTGTGTGTCTGACTGTGAATGGTGGAGCCGTTGAGTGGATCTGTGGAGTTTGTTAGTCGCAGCGATGGCTGTTAGCAGCTAGCTCCGCTTGTTAGCCGGTGACCCGCAGTAGAACGGGCAACCGCAGCTGCCGCACTTCACATCTGTATCCCGCAGGACTCACTCAGCTCTGGACACTTCTCGATATGATTTATGGATTAATTGTTCTTTGGCAGGCAGGTAGGAGGCTCGGTTATCTGTGAGTGTAGCTGTGATGTAAATAAATAGTCCGAAGTCAGTTTTTATCACAGACTGTGAGAGGACATGATTTTAAACCTCCAGGCTTATTGCAGATTAAGAAGAAGAAGAATAGAGACTGAAATAAAGTTTATTCTCTGCTTCTTAACAGTGAGATGGATAAGTCAGAGCTTGTGGTTAATCTTGGTACAAATAGTTATAGTCACAAATTAGTTATTAATGGTCTCAAAGTTTTTGATTTTAAGCTTTTCAAATGATCAGTAAGTGTGTGCTCAATCATGCTTCAGACTTGTTAAAAACTCCCCTGGTGAAATGCTGGATTGTACATGTGTAGCTGCAGCAAAAAACTTATATCAATGAGGACGAAACACAAACACTGTTTTTGAGAACAATAACAATAGTAATCAGGTATAAAAAGGGTTTTAGTCTTGTTTATTTTTTATTTATTTGTCTTTTTATTTTCTCTCTTCTTCCTTTATTTCATCCATTGTTTCACTAACAATATGTCTGCATCTGCCTCTTCAGGTTCAGGGTGAAGGAGTGGTGAATAAAGACCTTCCCAGTTGCTGGGAGTGTCCAAAGTGTGTCCAAGGGATCACTGACCAAGAGGTACACAATGCCTTCTCATCAACAAACACACACACACACACACACACACACACACACACACACACACACACACAGTCTCAGGGTTTCTTACTTCTTGTATGTTCATATATTGAGCGCACTGCTACACACAGACCTCTGAGTCTCTCTTGCACTCAGTCTATTAATCCGCCGTTCACACACACTTGGTTGCAGTGTGTCAAAGCTAACGGGTATTGTGTGTCTCCTGTCTGTTTGTTTTTCATTGTTTATCTATTTATTGTTTTGTTTTTTGGTTGCTTTATTTTCTCTTTTTCTTTTAAATTTAATTTAACTCCGTCAGTCATCAGGCAGCGATGAATCGTTGGCTGCCGGCCACCAGCAGCACATCCGTCCCCATGGCCCCCTGGTCCTCAGACTGGGCCCAGGGCCCTCTGCTACCATAGGGGGTCCTGTGGGCACCCAGCAGGATGGGGAGGTGGTCCGCTGTGGTTTCTTCCCTCCTCCTCCTCCTCTTCCTTCCTGCTCTTCCTCCTCAGCGTCACTTCTATTGGTGGCGGCCCCTCTGCCTTCTCAGCCAATCAGCTCGAGACTGGTGAGAGGTGCCGTCTACTCTGAGTACATCCATCCGTCTGTCGAGTGCACCCCACCCCTTTTTTTCCATTTCACCTTTTCAAGTGAAAAGACACAACTCTTGGTGTAAATTTTACCACTGAAACGATCTTGTTACAGACAGATGGATTTCCTATTAAAGAATTCTGTTTTGATAGTTTATACAAGAGTAGTGCCTCTTCTCTCAGACCGTTGGCTGTTTTCATTTCGGAGCTGCCCTCAGCTCAGATTGGTTTCTGTGCTTTTTTTCCTTCTCCATACTTTATAAATTTTTTTTTTCCTCATGGCTGATCATAACAGACAGTGCGTAGCTGGTTTACTCGAGTTAAGACAGTAAGCTTTTTGACGAAACCATTTCTCCAGGTTTGGGTCGCACTCAGACCTCGAGTAGTTGATGTGCTGGAAAACAAAAATGAAAGAAGTTAACTAATGACTGACAACATACAAGAGGTTTTCAGTATAGCTGCATGATATGCAAAAAAATCTATATTGCAATTATTTTGACAGATATTGTGATAGTGATTTTATTCAAATGGTAATTTTTGCATTTCATTCTGACTGAAAAAATATATGTGATTGCTATGTGAATGTTGCTGGGGTCTGTAAAAAAAAGAGCATGTTCCCATATGTCTGGAATGTGTTTTGTAGTTCAGGGCATCCCTGTAGCACCACAACACTTCATTTATCATGGTATATGTTGTGACACATTTTATCTTTATCAAAAAGTTGCAGCTCCCGCGATTTGGATATTGCACTTGGCCATATTGCAATTTAAATAATATTTCGATTTACTGTGCATGTTTGCTCTTAAGATTTTAAATGTTATCAGCACACTGCTGGACACATCAGTCTCCTCTTCTTCAGTGTCAAAAAGGATGTTAAAGAAACTGATGTTGTTCAGCCTTCGTCTTCACTCTTTCCTCTTGAATATCTGGGTGTACTGATATTGTGACTGTCTTTTCTTTTCACTGTTTTGTTTCATCACAGCAGTAACTGACTGTTGGAATGACTTTTTTTGTCTGTTTTGTCAAAGAATCTTGTGAAATAGTTGTTGGTTTTTTTGGTCTTTTTTTGCTCTTCGGCATGAAAATTCACACTTCTGATGTTAAAAATCTGATGTACCTGTTAGCAAAATGCAGGTTGACCTAACTCACTCAAGTAACCATATTCCTACATAAAACCTATTTCTGCACCAATTAAAAATGATCTTGAGGTCTTAAAAAGCAAGTGTCTGACACCTGTAGACATCCTGCGCTGTTATTTCTAACTAAAAAGTACTGAGTACCGTGCAATACGTTATAATGATGACTATGACCATGAGGATGTACTCAGAGGTATTCTGATTTTTAAAGTACCACAAGTTGCACCAAAGGATGCTCTACATTACTTCATGTTGCCTTCTTGCCTTCAGCTTGTTTTTGTGATGATCTATACAACCTTAATTATGCTTATGTAACTGCACTTTTGCAAGTGTGAGTAGCTGATGGCAACAGCTTTAGTTCTGGGTAAACTCTTCCTTTAATGAGTCACAACAAAAATTATTTTGCCATTTGTTAAATGTTGCTTTTAGTGGAGGTTTGTCCAGTGTTTCATGATGTTCCTTCAGAGGCTTTACCACATGAAAATATTGGCAAACATATTTTTCCCCTTCAGATCATGAATGGATTAGACATGATCAGAATTAGTTATTGAACATTAGAAACATAATGGCACCTTCTGCCCAAAAGTATGATCGGCATTGAAAGACTTTTAATAATGCAAGGCCAAAACTATCAGCTAAGTCAGTTTCTTGAGTCACTTCTGATGTTGACACATTATTTTCTTTTCCTGTCATCAGTCTAAAGGAGAAAAAGGTGAAGGCCTCCCAGTGGTGAGTATTTATTCTGGGGTCCCTTCTGTGATTATTTTTCTTTTAATAGCCTCTTAATTAAAGGTCTCCTTACAATTTCCGTTGTGTCTTTTCCCCCATACCTTCCTCCTCTTCTTCCATATTTTCTTTTTCATTCTGTTTCCTTTCTTTTATGTTTTATTTTTGTCTACCTTTCCTCCCATTCTTCCCTCTATCCCTGTGTGTTCAGAAACGGAAATCTTCCACCCTGCTGGACGCTCGTATGGCTAAGATTTACCGTCGACACAGGCACAGTCGCGATGGAGACGACTCTGCCAGTGATGACGATGATGAAGGTTTGTCTATGTTTTAGAAAACCCTGACATCCAGATATCTTTTGTTGGGATTCTGATCACTCTGTTCTGACCTGTTCACCTCTCCCATCCATCCGTCCATCTCCACAGCCTCTCAGAGAAGAAAGATGGCGCTCCATGCCCGAGGGGGGGGCCACTCTTCCAGGAGGGGCTTTGGTGCCAACAGGAGAGGTCTGCTGAGAGGAGGCTCCTCCCACAGAGGGAGCAGAGGAGGAATCATGACTCCTGGCTCCTCCTCTGTCCTCAGGCTCAAGCGAGGGATTGGCATGAGGGAGGGTGGACGGAGGGGACGAGGGGTGAGGCTGAGGGGAGGCTCCAGGATGCAGCGAAGAGGAGACGAGTCAGAGGAGTCGGACGATGACGACGACGATGATGAAGAAGAGGAGGAGGAAGAGGAGGACAGTGAAGACGGAGACAAAGAGCGACTGCAACGTCGACGGAGGAGGCGGCGCAGGACAGATGATGATGAAGATGAGGATGAGGACAGTGAGGGGCAGGAGTTCGACCCTGAAGAGGAGGAGATGGACACGCTGGAAGATGAGGAGGAGGAGGAAGAGGACATGGAGGAGGATGGCCGCTGGGATTCAGACCCAGAACCTCCAGTCCTCTTGGTGTCTGATTTGAATGATGACCTGCTGAGTGGCTCCTACCTGACTGTCACTCTGCAGCGCCCCCACAAGGCCAAGAGACACTCTGGTAAGACTTCAAGTTTCAACAGCGACATTTTAATCACTTTAGATTTGGTCTTAGTATATATTTCCATAACTGAACTGTAAAGTCAAAATTAATGTGTGAAACTCAAACATGTTGTCGTTGCTCAGGCTCCATAGTTCCAAAGCTTGAAGCAGCGATGGGTCTGAGGACGGCTGCAGTGGGTGCTGGGGGTCAGCAGGGCTTCATCCAGAGGAAGACTGCTCTGTCCAAACCTTCAAGACTTAAGGGCGCTGACACCACAGGAGACAGCGTAACCCCAAGAGGACCTGGCAGGTAGGGCTCAACACATAATCAGATTCAGTTTAATACATTGCTGCTGCTGCTACTCATGATACAAAATTTTGTTTTTTGGGTATTTGAAATTTAGCCTCACAAGTTAGGGGTTCACTTTTTTTTAACCATTTTTTAATCAACTTTTTTATTGCCTAAATTTCTGTAATTAAAAATGAGAGGATTGAAATAAGTTGCTGCTTTTATTGTGGTGCACGTAAGGTTACGTCTTATCTGTTTCAACAAAAACAAAGCCGAAGTGAGAAAGCAGAAATTGGTGGACTGTCTGAGAACAGACTTTCAGCTGCTTGAATTGCAACTGGAATTTAGCCAGCCCAGCACAAACTTCTGCTGGATCCACAAACCTTCTGTTGCTGCTGTTAACACAGTTTAGAGAAAGCCCGCTGCCCGCAAATTTAGCTTGAGTTGCTACAGCCACTACTGAGTCCAACTCTGGAGCTTCCGCCTGCTCTCCTCCCACAAATATTCTCCCAGCAGCAGGGAGAGATGGTCGGTCGCAGTGGCGGTCAGTGCTGATATTCCTTGGGGAACTAATACTCCCAAACACATGAGCCGAATGACATGGGAGTCAACCAGCTCCAACTTTGTTCACCAGACAAACAATAGCTGACTCTCAACCAAAGCTTTCTTTAAATGAAACTTGAGTGCTCTGTAGGCTTTACATGACTAGTAACTATTTGTCTTATGCGTGTCACGTCATTTACCCAAACACTATTCAATATTTTTATGTCATAGGCCACGTCTACGGGGTAACCATGGCGACAGGGGCAATAGAGATCACTCTGCGACTTCTTCAGAGGAAGAGGACACTGCTGCTCCTCCTGCGCCCTCCTCCCTGTCTCCTCCTTCCCTGCTGTCTCTGCCGTCCTTCAAGGACGTGGGCAACGAGAGAGGAGGGGAGAAGGAGGTGTGGGTGTCTGTGTTCAGGTACCTGCACAGAGCCGAGCTGCTGGCCTGTATGACCGTCTGTAAGGCGTGGTACAAGTGGTATGTCACACTCTTTTATTCTACAAACAAAACACTCAACAACTCTGACATACGTTAAACCAATCATGCTTTGCTGTCCTGTGTAGGAGCTGTGACAAGCGTCTGTGGAGTCACATAGATGTGAGCCGGTGCAGCCCGCTCAGTAACCAGGCCCTGGCTGGGATCATTAAACGCCAGCCCACATCTCTGGACCTGTCCTGGACCCCTTTGGCCAAGAGACAGCTCAACTGTCTGCTCACCAGGCTCCCAGGTACAAACACACACTAAGGCCCAATCCCATTTCATATTGAAACTGTCAAACTACTGGAGGATCATGCAGCCTTACCTCCCTACTCCTTCACGTAAATACGGAGGCGGAGGGAAAGGGCTAAGTGGTAGAGGCAAGAGGTGTATTTGGGATTGAGTCCTACATGAACACACACATACACACACACACACACACACGTCCCTCTGTCCCTACATGTCTCATTCCCTCCTCTCTCTCTGTCTTTCTGTGTGTGTCTTCAGGTCTGAGGGAGTTGAGAGTGACTGGTCTGTCCTGGTCCTGTCTGTCAGCGCTGGTCTCTCCTACGCTGCCCTACCTGCGGCTGCTGGACCTGCGCTGGTGTGAAGGCCTGAAAGACGCACAGATTAAAGAGCTCATCACCCCGCCTGGTCAGTAGCAGCCAAAATGAGCAGCCCCTTGGCGAAATGGGCCTGTAGTGGTATTTCACTGCAGATGGTTATTGTGTGGATCATTGTGATGACAAATAAAATTACACACAGACAATATGGTGACAGTAGGATCTTCAATATGTCCAGAAAAGTTGATATAACTTAACTTACTTAGAGACTTCACCTGTTCTTGGCAGTGTATCTCAAGTGACCTTTTCTTACATCTCTGTCTGTAGGTTCAGAGTCGTCTCGCAGCAGACTGAGGAACATGGTGACGCTGTGTCTGTCCGGTCTGGACATCAGTGAGTCCACTCTGAGGCTGCTGCAGCGCCACATGCCCCAGCTGGAGAGGCTGGATCTCGCTCACTGCAAGGAGATATCAGACTCGTCCATCGCTTTACTGGCAGCAGCTGGGACTCACAGCCGCAACAGTCTCACTGAACTCACACTGGCAGGTTGGTGTGTGAGCACAGTCACACTCCCACTGGTTGAGCACATGACCTTTCATCTATGTGGTTCTTAGGAACGAGTTAAAACGTTTATCATACTCGTGACATCACTTTTAAGAGCATGATGCCTCTTTTACCTCTTCAACAATCGTTGGCAGAGCCAAGATAACCGACTGCTAAGAGCACTTTAACACACTAACTAACTAGCCTAACTTCTGTGTGTCCAGGATGCAGTGAGCTGACGGACGGCTGTCTCTCGTACCTGAAGCGTCTTTCCTCTCTGACGCTGCTGGACCTCAGAGGCTGTAAGGGCATCAGCAGACGCGCCTGCGACGCCTTCATCTCTGACCTGTCTCACGTCGCACTCTTCTGTATGATGGAGGAGAAGCTCATCCAGCGCCTGGATTAACACACACTGTTACACGATCAGCTGTGAGAGAGGGGAGCTAAAAACTGTACATGCTCAACCTATTGTGTGTTGTTCTTCAAAACATGAGGAGCTCCAAACCAGAAACATTAAACATGACCAAACTGGGAGCTCCTAAAACCACAAGTTCTCCTGATACTACATTTAAATAAAGACCTCCTTCACGTTGTAGGGAGGTTTATGTTTTTTCACTATGCATGACACTAGGCCAACAGTTCTCTCTCTTCCTGTCTTTGTGGCTAAACACAAACAAGCTTTTTATTCTAAAATTTCAGACTACTCCTTTATAAAGTCCCAAATTACAGACTGAATTGACTCCAAAGATTGTTGTAACTTCTTGGAGGTTCACGTTCTCTTCATATCCTCTGTCATTGTCAGAATGACCACACAAAAAGTAGACCCAGAAGAAGTCTGGCTAAATATGAAACTACCTTTAATGTGTACAGACTGACGCAGGATGACATCTCTTCATTATTTGGGAGAAAAAAAAGGGGAAAATAGACATTTTGGTTCACTAAACTTGAACAAATAAATTCTCTGTGTGTACAGTGAATCCCATGTGTGTATATATGTTTATTTTTTTATGTTTCATCCATGTTAGGATCTGTCAGACAACTGACATTGTACATTTTTTCTAACAGTGTTAAAAACTTAATAAAAATGGTTGAACTTTGTGTTTGTAGCATTTGTTCAGGAGCTAAAGCATTAACGTGTATTATACAAACATATAAAGTATTATACTTAAAAGGGACAGCTCTCTCCAAAATCAAACATACATATTTTTCCTCTTACCTGTAGTGCTGTTTATCAGTCAAGATTGCTTTGATGTGAGTTGCAGTGTTGGCAATATCAGCCGTAGAGATTTCTGCCTTCTCTTTGATATAATGTAACTAGATGGCACTCAGCTTGTGGTGCTCAATGTGCCAAAAAGTACATTTTAAAAACTCCACGCTACTGTCTCTTTTCAGAAATCACAACTAGGTTACTCAAGATAATCCACAGACCTTGTTGTGAGTAGGTTCATGTAGGAACTATTTTCTTTCTACCAAACTACACCTGCCAACTTAATCACTGCACAGAAGGAATTTTGCATCTCCTGCTAGTTCACCTGGCACCACTGAGCTGGGTAATGTCCTCACCTGAGGAGGACATCATTCATGTTTATATGTCGCACTGTCACGACACGAGCCTCTCATTCATTAGTAGATGCACGCTTCCTTCTGCGCAGTAATACAGTCAGTGAGTGTAACTCAGGAGAAAGAAAATAGTTCCTACAAAAGACTGCTCACAACAAGGCCTGTGGATTATCTTGAGTGACGAGGTCATGATTTCTGAAAAGAGACATTAGTGTTGAGTTTTTTAAAATGTATTTTTTTGGGCACTTTCAGCACCACAAGCTGAGTGCCATCTAGTTCCATTATATTAAAGAGAAGGTAGACATCTCTACAGCTGATATCTCCAACACACTGCAACTCACACCAAAACAATCTAGACTGATAAGCAGCACTACAGGTAAGAGGGAAAATATTCGTATTTGATTTAAGGGTGAATTTTCCTTTAAATATAATCTCAAAAAAATGTGGACTCCTGTGGTTATGAGCCTGTTTGGAGGCAACCAGCTGTGTTCACATGGGAACATCAGGTGCTGTGAGCTCCTTCACTGCAGTTTGTGGACAGCAGAGGGCGCTGCTGCTCTAACACTGCAGACCGACTTCTGTGGCTATTCAAAGCACCTTTATACAACAGATTACACTGCAGCTTATTTGTCTCAACTGAAAACAGTTTAATGAGAATATGAGACAGACAGCTGTTTTTCACATTCCTCCTCTCACAAAATTTTTTCTTTCATTTCACACAAATCAAATTATATTATGTACACCATGAATCCATTTACTATTGGTGGTGTAAACATATGGCACACCACATTTTGGATATGTCACTTTATCCAAGTATGGCAGTGCATAAAAGCATCTTTGTCTTGTTCACAGTAGGATGACATTTGGTATTCAAATACAGGTCTTAACAGCTTTGCACCTTTAAATCAGTACATGTTCTGTAATGGCTAAAATCAAACTTATGTAGCTGAAGGAAAAACAGTAACACCTGCATACTTACTCCATGTCACAGCTTTTGATAATTATTTCCTCCTTACCTTGAAATCAAACCAACACCAACAGTGTCTGCATGCTCAGTGAGATCATGTACCTTTTGTAATTAGGTGAACTGACCCTTTATCTATGAACAGTTTACTTCCTATTTAAAGATCACTACAGAGTCACAGATGATCCAATCTCAACTTTTATTACAAACCAAAAATTCATTTACATCTATGCAGAAACACCACCGCACAGTGTGTGTGAGTCATCAGTGTGTGTGTGTGTGTGTGTGTGTGTACACAGTGTGTTGAAGTGCACATAGGAGAAGTTTCCCTTGTTGGCTTTCTCCCAGAAAGTCTGTTCTGGCAGAAATCTGTTCACGTCAACCAAAACTGTAACCGAGAAATCCTTTTCTGGAGGAAAGCCTTCAGGGAAAACTCCTCCCAGCTGCTGTTGAAACTGGTCCTGTGTGTGTTTGTGTCTAGTAGCTCTTGGTGGTCTCGTATGTTTCTGGGAACGGGAGGCTGACGTGTCCACTTCCAGCCACCAGAGGCAGGATCCCAGCGTTGGGAACGACGTTCCATGACAGTGTCAGCGTGATGTTCTTGTTAGCCCTGAAGAGGAGACAGACATGACAGTTAGCCAGCCAATCACATGACAGGTGCTCGAACTTAAACCTCAGATTTTATAATGATGTTTGGCTCTGAGAAAACATGCTATTGAGTTGCATTATGGGAAATGTAGGATCCAGTATTTTTTGGAGACCCATACAGGACATGTCAGCCTAGACTTTTTTTTGCATCAGTCTCCTGTCTTTCCACTAACTTAAACAGCTGGATCCATCCTGTAAATGTTGCTGGTTTTAGGTCCACAAAGTGACCAAAATATGATTTTTGGCAGAATGGGAAAGCCTCTTTGTTGTGTTGTCACATTCCTGAAGACAGTCAGATTTTGTCAGCCTAAACTAACCTATATTTTTGAGTGATATTGAACAGTAATTTGTCTTTAATGAATCTGCAGCACAGTCTGCACGGCTGCCAATTAGAGATTTTTACAATTTTTGCAGGTGGAAAATTGACAAAGTTGGTGATTAATATAATGATAAAGGATTTTAGTCATTCGCAAATTTTAACCTCTCTGTACTGCTATTTGCTCTGTGTTTGTGTTTAAAAGTACAGATAAAAGAAGTGTTAACATTGGATTTTGTCAATACCACGATCTTTAATTATCTAGCCCTGGGTCCTGTTCAATACCAGCAAGATTAATACAGTTAAAGCTTCACATATTCGATAGAAAAAGGCATATATTAAAACCCTATCATTTTATAAACTTGTCTGTGTAAGCTCTCGATCCACAAGAGTAATTAACAACTATGATAAATGCATTTAAGTAAACAGTACAATATTTCTCTCTTAAAATGTAGTGACACACAAGTGTATAAAATGGCAGAAAATGGAAATACTCGAGTACAAGTACCTCAGTACTTTTTATTCATGTGCCAAAAGAATGAACCAAAATAATTTTGGTAACCATTGACAATTTATTTAGCACCTCTATCAGGTCCAATTTCTACTCATACGTGAAAAATATCTCCTAATGGGCAGATGCATGTGTGTTTGTGTCTGTGTCTAACCTGAGTCCGTTCCCGTCATCGAAGAAGAAGTATTTGGACTTCATGTCTCTGAGGTTCAGTTTGGTGTTTTCACCTCGAAGGACGATCTTGTCCCACAACACCACCTGGTTCAGAGACTGACACACACACACACACACACACACACACACACACACACACACACACACACACAGAATGTCAATCAACAATAAAACTGTACATGAGACAGCGTTCGCTCATTTTCATCTGCTGTCCCTGGACAAATGTCAACAGTCTGCTAAAAATGGTACATTTCAGTATAATGCAGTCCAGTACAATGACTGCTAACTACAACCTCAGTAATAAATACAGAGTTGAATGAACAGGTCTCTGTGTGGCTGAGCTGTTGTACTGGATTGGACTATAGTGGGTGTACCTAATGAAATGGCCAGGGAGTGTGTGACTATAAGAAATATTAGCACTTCTGTGCAACACTACCATGCAGGCATCCACACTAATGTGGATTAATATTGAGGACTTACATAATATGTGTCATTCTCTTTCTATCTATTCACGGCCATATTTGAGTATGCAGAGCCACTTATACAAAACAACTTCACAACACTAACCGATCACTAACAGAATCTTATTTCATTATGCAATATCACTGATCACATGCTGATCTAAAGAACGTGCTGAATAAACCCCACAGAGACAAACAAACCTGACCTTGTGCTTGTGCTAGTGTGTGTGTTCACTATGACTTACATTGCTCTTTGTGGTGTACTCAGCTGACAGATAGAGAAACAGCTGTTTTACGTTCCAGTCGAAAATTGGCTGCAAATGTAGGACAAGTTAAGGAACAACGTACCGCAGGAACCAGAGGTGTCTCTCATCACGCACAAGGCACAAGAGCAACTCTGCAACCACGTGTTTCATGATGAGACGTCACTAAACAAGACTCAAGATTAGAACCTGGTGAACGATTGCTTAACTGCCCGACACGTAACACTGGCTGTAACTAAAATAAGCTTTCTTTCTTCTTCTTATAGGCTCTGTGCACAACAGCACATGTAGTATTATGAAGGATATCAGCTGCGAGGTCAAAGGTGATGAAACCCAGATCACTGCGCTCTCTGGGTCCTGTGAAGTCATCGACGTTCTTCCTGTTTAATAGAGAGAAAGAGAAGCAACATTAAAGAAGAGAAATGATGGAGGAAAGGGGAAGAGATCTGAGGGAAAACCTGCCTCCAACCTGAAGAATAAGTTTAAACAGAAGGAAGACTGATGGTATAGAGCTGATTGTTAATACATTATTTAAAAAAACTCCTTTGAAAGCTGCATGAAAACACATCTGACTGAGAGCGAAGGACTTTGGAGGTGTTAATGACATTCATTCTAACTGGTGTCACTCACTATATGAATAACCTTTGAATAAAATAAATGTTAAACATCTACAAGTGTTTCATAAACACTTTGCAATGCAGTTATTAAGGTTCTGACCTTGAATTACTTGCAACAAATTATTTACACGCATGCAAATGCTCTCTCAACATGAAGTGCATTTTTGTTATTTTAACAGCAACATCCCCGGGGTATTATTTTCATTTTTGTTTAAAGTTGCATTAAATTAACCACAATCGACAGCATTTTATATTAAGATTATTCCATTGTAACTTGTATTTACTGCAAAAGTCAAAAATCTAATGTTATTTTTACATTACTGTTCCCTGATCTGTTTTCAGTCCAGAAAGATTTTTTTCTAAAATTTTCTGATTGCAGATTTTTTGATCATTTTATTTAGTTTAATAGAAAAGGTACAGCAGGGTTGTCGGAAAATGTCTGATACATGTGTGAATGTTATCGGACATTTACTAACAATATCAATTAATTCATCATTTCACCAACTAAGTTTTGGTTAGGGCTGGACAATATATTGATATTATATGAATATTGTGATATGAGACTAGATATCATAAGTATTGTC